GTTCTTGGGACTTGAGCTGGCAGCTTATCTGCCGAACCTGGGATTCATCGGTCTGCACAGACTGTGAGTGGGAGCCCTGCTCTCCAAGCTGCCGATCTTGGGCTTGCCAGCTTCTGCAGCTGTGTGACTTGGGAGAGGCCTCTACCCTGATCCATGGACTTGGGACGTTCTAGCCTCTACAATCACGTGAGCTGTTACCTTGATATAATCTCTCTATATATATGTATATATTTATACACTTTACTGGTTTTGCTTCTCTAGAGAACCAGCCTAAGACACTCTTTTTGGGTTTTTGCAGCCTGTTAAATTTGTCATTATGCTTTTCTCTAATCTTCTTAAGTTCCTGTATTGCTTGGTTTGCATTTTGCCTAATTTCCTTCCTGATCTCTTGAAGAGTTCTGTAAATTAATCTTCTGTATTCTGCCTCTGGTAATTCCAAGAAATTCTCTTCCTCTGGAAAATTTCTAGATTCTTTATTTTGGGAGCTTGCTGAAGCCATCATGGTGTGTCTGTTTATGTGATTTGATATTGACTGTTGTCTCTGAGCCATCAGTAAGTTATTATATTTATTTATTTTATGTTTCCTTACTGTGTCCTAGCTTCTTTTGTTTTGTTTTGATACGCCAAATAGTGCTCGTGTGAGCTAGCCTGATCACCGGTGCCCCTGAAACTCCAACGTCCTGCCACCAGGTGGCCAGACCTGCCACTTAGTATGTGAGCTCAGGTGTCTGCCCACTCCTCCTGTATGGATTCAGCTCAGGTGTCCAGGTAGTCAGCCACCAAGTGTGTGATGCAGGCTCTCACCTACAGTCCTAGACAGACATGGGTGATGGGTGCAGCCACCGGCATCCTACTGCAGCAGGGCATCATATGCCGAGCAAGGCAGGGGATCGACGGCTGCCCCCAAGTGTCTGAGAGGAAAGTGTGTCCCTGTTCCCTTGAGCGCGTATGCGGGTGGGTTTTGCAGCTGGACTATGAACAACCAATGCTGTTGGCTGTAAGGACGAGGGGGGCACCACGTATTCTTGGGCTCCTATCGCAGGTGGCTAGGTGGCATGGGTTGAGCCAGTAGTCCTCAGGCCCCTGATGTGGGTAGGTGAAGACCCTGCTTAATGGGCAGAGCAGTGTCAAATGTCACTAACCTGCCACTTCACAGCTGAAATAGTTGAAGTTAGACTTCAGGTATATACCCTGTTATACTATGGTAATGAGGGCTTACACTGTTGAAATGGGCCGACACAAGTCTCTGCAGGGGGAAAGGCCCTCAAAGTCCATGGACCCGTTATGCCTGTGCCAAGGCAAAGAAGCTGTGCCTACCCTGAGTTTCTGGCTTAGGGGAGCCGGTAGATTATTTTTTCCCCGTTTGTTAATTTGTTCCCTCTCCAAGGCCAGGAGAATGGCTCAGGGCAAGTCTCAGGTCCTACTTCCAGCCCAGGGGACTTGTCAGTCACTGACGCTGTCGCAAACCCAGTGCAGAGCAGAGAGCGGGGAGGTAAATGGAGAGAGGTTTTTCCCAAAGGGGGGTGTTTTTGATCCATGTGGTAGGCCCGTTGCAAGTACTTACCTTTCGCCGATTAAGAGCTGCTTCTCACTGGTTCTGGATGGCCAAGTAGACTCTCTGCTGCTGGGTCTCTCCTGGTGTGGAAAATGCCTCCCAAGCGCCACTGTTTGCCTCACCACGCGCCAGGAGCTGATCCAGCCTGAAGGGCTCAGGCTCTCGCTGAGTCAGGTCTGGCAACTCCTCGCTGCTTCCGAACTGTCTCTCTCTCTCCCTGCCACTCAGTCCAATTCCTCAACTTTGCCTTTGATGTTCAGGGCTCCTAGATTGTCATATTTAATCGATTCACTTGTTTTTTCGGGTTTTTTTTGTAAGAGGGACCACCGGAAGCATCTGACTACTCTGCCATCTTGGCATTGCCTTCCCTGTCTTTTTAATGACCTCTTGCTTTCTTCATGTATGATGTCCTTGATGTCATTCCACAACTCCTCTGGTCTTTGGTCATTAGTGCTCAATGCAGCAAATCTGCTCTTGAGTTGGTCTCTGAATACAGGTGGTATATACTCAAGGTCTTACTTTGGCTCTCGTGGACTTGTTCTAATTTTCTTCAGTTTCAACTTGAACTTGCATAGGAGCAATGGATGGTCTGTTCCACAGTCGGCCCCTGGCCTTGTTTTGACTGGTGATATTGAGCTTTTCCATTGTCTCTTTCCACAGATGTAGTTGATTTGAATCCTTTGTATTCCATCTGGCGAGGTCTATGTGTATAGTTGCTGTTTATGTTGGTGAAAAAAGGTATTTGCAATGAAGAAGTCATTGGTCTTGCAAAATTCTGTCATGCAATCTCTGGCATCGTTACTGTCACCAAGGCCATATTTTCCAACTACTGATCCTTCTTCTTTGTTTCCAACTTTTGCATTCCAATCTCCAGTAATTGTCAATGCATCCTGATTGCATCAGACTGCAGAAGCTGGTAAAAATCTTCAATTTCTTCATCTTTGCCCTTAGTGATTGGTGCGTAAATTTAAGTAATGGTTGTATTAACTGGTCTTCCTTGTAGGGCTATGGATATTATCCTATCATTGTACAACAGTACTTCAGGATAGATCTTGAAATGTTCTTTTTGATGATGAATGCAGCGCCATTCCTCTTTAAGTTGTCATTTCTGACATAGTGACCATACGATTGTCCAATTCAAAATGGGCAATACCAGTCCATTTCAGCTCGCTAATGCCTAGGATATCGATATGTATGCGTTCCATTTCATTTTTGACAATTTCTAATTTTCCTGGATTCATACTTCCTGCATTCCACATTCTGCTTATTAATGGATGTTTGCAGCTGTTTCTTCTCATTTTGAGTCGTGCCACATCAGCAAATGAATGTCTCAAAAGCTTAACTCCATCCACATCATTTAGGTCGACTCTACTTTGAGGAGGCAGCTCTTCCCCAGTTGTCTTTTGAGTACCTTCCAACCTGGGGGGGTGCTCATCTTCTGGCACTAAATCAGACAGTGTTCTGCTGCTATTGATAAGGTTTTTACTGGCTGATTCTTTTCAGAAGTAGACTGCTGGGTCCTTCTTCCTAGTCTGTCTTAGTCTGGAAGCTCAGCTGAAACCTGTCTGCCATGGGTGACCCTGCAGGTATCTGAATACCAGTAGCATAGCGTCCAGCATCACAGCAACATGCAAGCCACCACAGTATGGCCAACTGACAGACACGTGGGGGACAGCACCACATAAAGGTATTAAATTCAGGATATCCACTGCATCTTGGAGGTTAGTGCTCTATCTTGTAAAGTTTCATCTCTGAACTGTTGCTTAAGCTGTGCCTTCAGCAGGCTGTTGCAATGCTGTATCAGCCTGGCAGTTTCTGGGTTGTATAGTTTGTAATACAACCAGTGGATCTTATGGTTATGGGTCAACTTCCTCATCTCCTTTGTAAAGTGGATCTCTTGGTCTGATGTAATATAGGAGATCCCATGCCAGAAAAACAAACACTCCTTCTGAGAAAAAGCCAAACCCAACTTGGAATGTGTGTCTATTTTTTATAAGAATGAATTACTGTTCCTTCCTGGATGGAAAGGGCTCAGTGTAGTCAACTTGCTGCCATGGGGCTGGTTAGTCTCCTTGAAAGATAGTAATATTCTAAGGGCTTACAGTCGATCACTGTCACTGGCAGGCTGGATATTCAGCTTCGGCAGTAGCTGGATCAGCCTTTGTAAGTAGGGCCGCTGAGTAGCCTCTTTCTCTGTATTGTGTCCACTTCATAAATGTGCCCATTGTGCTAATGCTGAACAGAGACTGATGTCAGCTGGCAGTCATTTTGTATACTTAGTTGTTTAGTTCCTCTTCTGTGGTGGATGTCTTCTGGGGGACAGTAACATGTAACATAAAGGTTTTCACACTTCATACTCACTCTTGTGTATCAAGCTGTATGTCTCTATCCCAGACTTTCTTGTTCTCAATCTTCCAGACTTTCTCTCTCCAGGCCTCTGATATCCAGGTCCTTTGCCATTTCCTGTGGATTTATATATAGTCTAACCTGAGGCTGGTTCTCCATCTTTCAAGCCCCAGGTACATTTCCTGAAGCTTTATCTATTGGGAATATTTTCTCTTGCCACTGAATTTCAAGACTACCCTTTTGTGAGGCTGTAGTTGCAGCTCCTGACCATTTTCACTTGGCACACACATACTCAGCCAACCCTCCGTAAATCAAGCGTAAGCTTTTTTCTTCTTCATCAGATGGTTGTAAGAGATTCCCCATAAGGCCAAAGGTGTGAGTTCAGGGAGAAATGCTAGTACAACAGTGGTGGATGATATAGGAGTTTAGGCTACCTTTTTATATGCAGCTTGCTCATGACTTTTGGTCCTGTTCATGCTTGATTCTGGGTTTACCACTTCCATTTTATGATGGATGGGTTCAGGGTTCATTTGACATAATGACTTGGTGGATCTGTTAGAACCCAGCTCATGATGGGTAGTTTGAGATGCATGTGTCCTGTGGTTAGGTGTGCCATCTCTATCAGGGTCCAGTAGCATACCTGGAATTGTTTCTCTAAAGATATATAATTCTCTGCTGCAGATGGTAAGGCCTTACTTCACAACCCAGGGATCTGCAAGGTGATTCTCCCACTGAGGCTTGCGTAACTCCACATGGCATTGTTTCCCAGTACTGACAACTTTAATATTATAGGGTCTGCCAGGTTGTTGACCCATGTAACAGGATTGGTTGTATGGCAGCCTGGACCTTCTGCAGAGCCCTTTCCTCCTTTTGTGTCATCTGATATGTGTGCCAGAACAGGTGTGGAGTATGATGCCTCCAGGACCTGAAGTGGCCTTAGTGGGCCCTTCTTTGTGGTGGGAGATGCAAGGTGCAATAATTTGTCCTTTATTTTGGATGGGCTGTCTCAGCATGTCCCGGACCACTGGACTCTTAAAATTTTTACTGAATTAGTGTGCCCCTGAATCTTTGTACAATGTGTGTCTTGCCCTCTGGAGCACATGGTCTTACCAATGCCTCCAATGTGCTGTTCACTTCTTGCTCATTCAGCCCAATTAGCATTATGTCATTTAGTATGATAGATCAGTGTGATTTTGATGTTCTACAGGATGTCCAGATGGTTCAAATCGTGTTATAATAGAGAGCAGGTGAGTTCACAGCCCTGAAGCAAAACTGTAAATGTTGACTGTTGTCACTTCCTTATAATTGTGAACTGTATCTAATCCTTTTCTTTTTTTTTTTTGATAGGAATAGAAAAGAGTGTATTACCAAATCATTGGCCATATGCAGTACATAGTACATTGGCCATATGTACTAAGGCTGGGATAATACTACGTCAGGCACAATGGAGAAGCTGGGGCTACTGTTTGGTTAATTTTGATGTCATCCTCCAGGATCCATCTGGTTTCTGCAGAATCCAGAGTGGTGAAGTAAATGGGAATATTGCTCCTGTATCTTTTAGATCAGGGGTCAGCAAATGTAGCCCACAGGACAGCTGCCTGTTTTTAAAGCTTTATTAAAACACATCTATCCCTATTTATGTGTTGTCTGTGGCTTCTTTTGTACCACAATGGCAGTTGAGTAGTTGCACTAGAGACCATATGGCCCATATGCCTAGATTGTTTACTATGTAGCCCTTTAAAAAAAAGTTTGCTAACCCCTGCTTTAGATCCTGAAGGGTGCTACTAATTTTTGCTATCCTACTTAATTTACTACTTTGGCTAGAGGGGGAGAATTTCAGAGATCTCTGCTTGGACTTTCCTACTATAGACAAAGGACCCAATGTGGGAGTTACATCACTCACCAAATATGTCTATCACAGCTATATATTTGCAGACTGGGGAAATGGCCACTGAGTGGGCTAATGGACCCATTGAACTGCTATGAGCTGGACATTGGCTGCTATATGTCCTTATTCTGACAGGGGATTGATGATGCTTTGGGCTAATCAAGTATCATTGTCAACTAGAACCCTGTATCCAACAGTCCTAAAAATGTTTGAGTATTCCTCTTTCTCTACTGTACAGTTACTAAAGTAAATGGCCATAGTTCCTTTTGAAGAAGGAATGGGGGAATAATTACTGTGTATATTTGCCAGCATATTGCAGGGTCCTTTCTCCTGGGAACCTGGCCTCTTCTCCAGTCAGTAAGGGAGAGTATATCAATCATTGTTCTCTCCTTCACTCACTCTGCTGTAGTCACACTTGCCATTGCTTGCATACTAAGTTTGTTTGTTGCATGTGCTTGGACCATTCCTCCCTAGGATCTTTATATATCTTATTGCGAGCTGCACTTAGGTCTTTGCTCAAAATGTGTTTTCTTAGGCCTTACCTGATCACTCCTATTACAAATAATCTTACTCTCATCCATCACTCTGTATCCTCTTTAGTTTTCTTCATGGTACTTATTACCTTATCTTTTATCAGTTCATTTGTCTGCTACTCTCCCCACTAGATCTATAGGAGCAGAGGTTTTTTTCCTGCCCTGTTTACTGCTCATTTAGAATAATCTCTAGCAAGTAGTAAGCTCTCAATATTTGTTGAATGAAGAATATTTTGAGAGAATTGAAAATATACATGAAAAAAATGCTTATTTTTCACCATGTCAGTAATATCTATTGATTTATAAAGTTTTGGGTATATTTCATTTAATAATGCTGACACATTGAAATTGATGAACAGTATAGCATGTTTAAGGAGCCCTGGTGGCTCAGTGGTTAAAGCACTTGACTGCTAACCGAAAGGTCAGCGATTCGAAACTACCAGCTGCTCCACAGGAGAAAGAAAGTCTGCTTCCATAAAGATTTACAGCCTTGGAAACCTTATGCGGTCAAAATCAACTCTACAGCAGTGGATTTGGTTTTGGAGTGGGTATAGCATGTTTAATCGAAAACTACGACTATGCAGTAACTGATAAATGAAATTAATAATGCGTAAGAACTAAGATTAAGTATTTGCACAAGTATGTATCCAAAAGAAAAAAAAAAACCCCAGACAGGAAAAAGGACCGTGATAACTGCATGAAGTTATTTAATGAAAGTATCATGGAGTTACGAACGGGCTGGCTACTTCCTAAAATAATTTGTTGTTGGATGCCATCAAGTCAGTTCTGACTCACAGTAACCCTATGTGCTACAGAACGAAACACTGCCCGGTCCTGGGCCATCCTCACAGTCATTCCTGTGTTTGAGCTCATTATTGCAGCCACTGTGTCCTTCCTCTTTTTCACTGGCTCTCTGTTTTACCAAGCATAACGTCCTTCTCAAGGGACTGGTCCCTCCTGATAACATGTCCAAAGTACGTGAGACAAAGTCTCACCATCCTTGCTTCAGAGGAGCACTCTGGCTGTACTTCTTCTAAGACAGATTTGTTTGTTCTTCTGGCAGTCCATGGTATATTCGATATTTTTGTCAACACCATAATTCAAAGACATCAATTCTTCTTTCATCTTCCTTACTACTATTCTGATATTTTAATATGCTAATTTTATTAAGTCCTTTGTTTTGTTTACTGAAGATTTAATTGAAATAAACTTTTACACGAATGAATTAACTAGTAATTTGATTCTGTATTAAATTATCACGTAGTAGAACTCTGTTGTACTTTTGTAAGTAGTATCTTTTATGAAACTTAAAACAAACTTTTTCTTTTGTAAACTAGGAGCCTTTTGTGGCAGATGAGTATATTGAACGTCTTGTATGGAGAACCCCAGGAGGAGGCTCTAGAGGGGGAGCTGAAGCTTTTGATCCCAAAAGGTGAAGTAAAGCATGTTATTTTTCATTGATTCAATTGAGAACAAATTTTTTTGTTTTGTAAACTAGGAGCCTTTTGTGGCAGATGAGTATATTGAACATATAGGTGACTGTTGGGATTCCTTTTCAAAGTTTGTGTAAAGGGATTTTAGTTTACACTGGACGATAAAAGACCCAGCAATATAAACTGAGCATTAGAAATTTGGGATTGTTTTTTTCCTTTTACCTTTTATTTTAGAGAAGCACTCTAACTGGTTTGAGAAAGGGATTTTATTGAATATAAAAATTTAATTTTTTCTCAAATTAGTAATAAATTGGAAAGAGTTGGTCATACCTATAAAATAGAAACATGTTGAATATATTGTTTTAAGTATAGTTGTAGATCAGGGGAACAGAAAGTCACTAACCTGGAATGCACGATTTTATTTTAACATGGTACATTTACCTTCTTGATTGTTTCAAATAGACTGTAAAATTGGTTTCCGTTCTGGGGCTTAATGGGGATTCTGGGTGAGATTTTTATTCACCTTAGAGATAATCCACTGAGAAGTCAGTAGTCAAAACTGTCTGTATTTTAAAAGTCATGTTTGTTTTAAAGCTATATATTCTAGACAAAGCTATGAAGTCATAAAGTAACAGGAAGATCTTACTGATTGAAGAAATCCCTTACAACATGCTATAGAGAAAATTTAGCATGATCATCTGTCGCTCAAGGAACTCTTTTTAAGACTTTATAAGTGAACTGGTCACTTCCTAATGATTAATTGTAGATGAGTTTATACATATTGTATCTTTCCTCTACTAGATTATTGGAAGAGTTTATAAATCATATTCAAGAACTTCAAATAATGGATGAAAGGATTCAAAGGAAAGTAGAGAAACTAGAACAACAGTGTCAGAAAGAAGCCAAGGAATTTGCCAAGAAGGTTCAGGAGCTCCAGAAAAGCAATCAGGTAAACATTTAGCTAAACAATGAATAATATACATTGTTCCTGTTAGTTTGAGAGATAGAAGTCCTTATTATGAGCTGTTTGCAGACTTCACTTAATATAGTAAGAAATATAGCAATAAATTTAACACTTGTTTTTATTGAATTTCCACAGCTAATTATTTGGTGAAATTTTTAAAGCACAAGTAGCCCTTAAAGTCATCCATCAGTTAAAAATATACTGCAATAAATGCAGAAGCTGTCAAAGTCACAGTCTAACAATTTACTTGTTGTTGTCGTTGAGTTGATTCCAACTCATGGTGACCCCCATGTGTGCAGATTAGAATTGCTCCATAGAGTTTTCAAGGCTGTAACCTTTCAGAAGCAGATTGCCAAGGCCTGTCTTTCAAGCTGCCTCTGGATGGGTTTGAACTGCCAACCTTTTAGCTATTAGTCAAGGGCTTAACCGTTTGCACCACCCAAAGACTCTGTATTAAAAAAAAAAAAAAACCAAACCTGTTTCCATCGAGTCAATTCCAACTCATATAGCGACCTATGGGACATAGTAGAACCACCCCATAGGGTTTCCAAGGCTATAATCTTTAAGAAGTAAACTGCCACATCTTTCTCCCACGGAGTGGCTGGTGGGTTCGAACTGTTGATCTTTTGTTTAGCAGCCTAATGCTTAATCACTGCACCACCAGGGCTCCTTCATAGTTTGTATAGACCATACTGTATTTCCTTCCAGTTTTAAGTTTCTAAAAAGTCTAGTCAGATGATAGTAACTGTTGAGGGTTTTGCCCCCTTCCCATGGGATAAAATGTGAAAGAGTTGTGGATAGTTACCTGTTAACAAACACTGTTGGCAATGACTTGCTACTGAGTATTGGTTTGAGATCAGAGTACTTTCTTCTCAGGTTAGGGTAGTATCTAGTCCTGTGTGATCCTTTCTTCCCCTTCAAACAACCCAAACTTTCAAGAATGACACTTCAGCTGACCAGTACTTTTAGGGGCTCTTTATTAGCTTGGATTTTAGGTAGACATTTGCATTCTCTTTTAATCATAAAATAGTACTAGACCAACTGTTGCTCGGATTAGGTTTTTCACCAGAGGAAATCTGGCCTGGAAAGTTTCACAAAGGCCAGAAATATGTGCCCCAATGAGAATACTAGTGTAATGCTAGGAAAAGCAGATGCAGAACTCTTCCTTACACCACTCCGGAGAAAACCAAACCACTAGACTGGCCCTGGGGCTAAGTAATAGTGTGTCAGTGTACCAGTGTGACCCCCACGTGTGTCAGAGTAGAACTGTGCTTCATACAGTTTTCAATGGCTAATTTTTCAACAGTAGATCACCAGACCTTTCTTCAAGGCACCTCTGGCTGGGCTCAAATCTCCAACCTTTCAGTTAGCTGTGTTAACCATTTGTACCACCTAAGGATTCCTAGGGGTTAAATTGTCCAAGCTTAATTTGGAACTTCTAAACCACTTTTATGGCCTGGGCCTGATCTAGATGGACCTTGATTACCCTTTCTAAGTGTAGGTTGATGAGCGTTATTTAGCTCTGCTGTATCCTAGGGGCCAGTTGTTTAGTGTAAGGGATTTCTCTTAAAAGTTCATTTATTTAGATTTGTTCACTTGAGCGTATATGGCTGTGAGAAAAAAATATTTGATAATGGAGTTGTAATTTAAATAAGATAATGTGTTTTTAAGTAGGTAAAGTGATAGTTTCTAAATACTTCAATGCAGTTTTCCCTTTATAATAATAATGGTATTAGTTAAGCTAAGAGTTTCTGGAGCCTGTCTGCCTGAGTTTGAATTGCAGCTCTGCCACTTATTAGCTGTGTAATCGCAGTGTTTCTGTGCCTCAGTTTTTTCATCTATTAAACCAGTTGTTGGTGAGGATTAAGTAAGTTAATGCATGTAATATGCTTAAAACAGTATCTAGCACAAAGGAAGTCCTTGATAAATGATAGCAGCTTCATTCCCGCACACCCCTCAGTTTAAGGTTAGAACAAAAGTACCGTACTGAGTTATCAGCGATTTTGTTATTGGCAATTCTTGAGAATCCGTTGCACATAATTTTCATCTAACACAGGATAATCGGTGTACCGTATGAGAAGGTAAAGAATATTCTAGAAAGAAATGTATCTTTGCCTCAGTAGAGTCATTGCTAAAATCTTTTCTGTTTTCAAAAATGGGGAAGTACAGTTTTACAAATAATAGTAGCATTGTTCTTTGAATAGTTGAGTTAAACGTTTGTTAAATAGTCTATTTTTAATTATTGTTTATTTTTATTTCTTTCTTTTTTTTTCTTTTAAAGCAAAAAGAAAGTTGTATTCAGCATATATTCAAAAAGGCAAAAGTGGGAAATGGGCAACCATGCTACCAGAGCTATGTCTGCCCGAGTCCAAGGAAGTATCATAGAATAGGCAAAAGTGGGAAAACGGACAAGCATGCTGCCACAGCCATGTCTGCCCGAGTCCAAAGAGTATTATAGAATAGGCAAGAGTGTTTATTTTTATTTCTGACTTTTTCGTACACTTTTTTTGTCTATTAGCAAGAGAGTTTGTCAGGTGTCTGGTCCCTTTGGTACTTAGTTTATTATTTTCAGAATCATTATTTAGGACTAAATGGTATCGGGCACTTTGTTAAACAGGATGTATAGTGGCTTTGCTGTTCTGTTTAATAACAGATGCGTTTATAATAAAATATGATTATTTTAAGTGAAAGGTATAAAAGTTTGCAACTTGGTTAAAAAGTTTTCAGATCATATGCTAAGGAGTGTGCATCATTTTTTGGGGGGGCAGAAATGGTGGAGAGTTTATTTTTGTTCATTCAATGAATCTTTTTTTTGTTTGTTTTTATTGTTGTGCTGTAAGTGAAAGTTTACAATTAGTCTTTCATACAAACATTTATACGTACATTGGTATGTGACCATATTTGCTGTCCCTATACTGTGACGACACACTCCTCCTTCCCACCCCTAATTTCCCATGTCCATTCAGCCAGATCCTGACCTTCTCTGCCTTTTCATCTTGCCTTTGGACAGGAGCTGCCCATTTAGTCTCATGTATCTACTTGAGCTAAGAAGCATGAGTGTCATTTTATGTCCCATAGTCCAGTCTAATCTTTGTCTGAAGAGTTGGCCTTGAGAATGGTTTTAGTTTTGGGCTAACAGAGAGTCGGGGGGCCATGTCTTCCGGGGTGCCTCCAGTCTCAGTCAAACTATTAAGTCTGGTCTTTTTACTAGAATTTAAGTTCTGCATCCCACTTTTCTCCTGCTCCATCAGCAGCTATCTGTTGTGTTCCCTGTCAGGGCAGTTGGTCATTGCTGTTAGCTGGGCACCATCTAGTTCTTCTGGTCTCAGGAGCATGTGTCATTTTTGTGCATCATCTCATAAGTTCTATGTTAGTTACCTAGATTAGAGAGTAGCAGTGAGATTGGTTGTTTAGTTTTCAGGTGTATTAACTTAAAAACTGGATTCTCTGATTTTTTTTTATGTTTCTGCACATTTTTTCTAGGTTGCCTTCCAACATTTTCAAGAACTAGATGAGCACATCAGCTATGTAGCAACCAAGGTCTGTCACCTTGGAGATCAGTTGGAGGGGGTAAACACACCCAGACAACGGGCAGTGGAGGCTCAGAAACTGATGAAATACTTTAATGAATTTCTAGATGGAGAATTGAAATCTGATGTTTTTACAAATTCTGAAAAGGTAAGCACAAACACTGTCAGAGGGATCAAAGTAAATCACAGCATTAATAACAATATCCTAATTATGAGCTGCAATTATTACTTTCCAGAGTCAGACTTCACATCATGAGTAACTGACTTATTAAAAGGTTTTATTGTTCTGAAATGTAAATTAACACACTTGTCTGTAGATTGCTGATGAAGTGTTGATGTTCAATGTTTTAACTGGATTGACTAGCGTTTTTGTTTATGAGATTATGTGTACTTTACAAATACTGAAGTAAATACATTTATGAGTATTTCTTTCCCATAATCAACTTCTAATATTAACAGACTTCTTTTAGTTTTTGGATAATTAACATTCCATTGGGGGGGGGGGTGATTTGACCTAAATCATTGATAAGCTGAAATGTCTTTTTTTTTTTTTTTCCCATACAAAAATTTATACATACATTGTTATGTGACCCTAATTGCTGTCTCCATACTGTGATAGCACACTCCTTCTTTCTGCCCCTGATTCACCATGTCCATTCAACCAGCTCCTAACCCTCTCTGCCTTCCCATCTCACCTCTGGACAGAAGCTGCCCATTTAGTCTCTTGTATCTGCTTGAGCTAAGAGGCACGCTGCTCATGAATATCACTTTATGTCCCACAGTCCAGTCCAATCCCTGTCAGAAGAGTTGGCCTCAGAAATTGTTTTAGTTCTGGGCT